TAATATAATATAATATAAGGAAGAGTTATCGTAACCTAGCAACGGCTGTGAGCTTGTCGCGCATGCGTCGTGCTGGTCTCAGTGCAGGGGGCGGGGACGGAAGCACGCCCACCGGACGTGCGTAGAGTTTTCCCGGGAAAGCTCAGTTTGTGAAGGAGCTGCGCTGAAGCCGCCGAAGAGTCAGTGAGTAGTTTAATCTACGTTCTTCTCTTTATAATCGATAATATTACACGTATGACCAAGCTGGTGTTTCACTCACGAGGTGCTTCTTCGCTCAAAGTCAAGAATAAATGGTTTATTCGATATTTTGTGAACGTTGTTGCCTCCAGACACCAGGAAGTGAACGTGCTTCAAGCGTGGTTAGCCGAGCTTTGTTTTTTTTATTAGCAAAACACTGCGCGTTGAAATGACTTGTTTCTCCTTAACAAATAATTCACGGTGATTCCTGAAATTAGAGTTTGTAGAGTTAATCTGAACAATGCTGGAGCTCCAAATACCACAGATATGGCTTTAATGTGTGTTGAGTGGTTGTGTTTGGTTTGGTTGTTGTCTAAATTATAATTTTTTAGCTTTGACTGTCTTATACAAACACAGTGGTTTTTTTGTTTTGTTTTGTTTTTACAGGAAACTGTTTATTCACTAAACAGATTGAATGAGGTCACAATTGTATTTGTGTTTAATGTTAAAAGACTAAACAGCAAAAAGCTTATTACTACCTGCGGATGCCTATTTTTGAATTTGATGCTGTAATATTGCCAATTCCCTCATAGTGGGACTAATAAAGGATAGTCTTATTTATGTAATATGTCATATTTCCTGTGACCTAGCAACTTTAAAAAGAAAGCTGATTGAGCTGTGGTTTTATATAAAACAGTTATTTTTTTGAGATGAGGATGAACCTTGAATGGTGGAAACTTGTGCCCCAGGGGGTCAGTCTGCACTTGAATATGTGAAAAAGGCAACGAAATGAGCTGAGAGGCCAGACGCCGCTCCCTGTGGTGGTCGTACAAATGCAAACTTGACTGAAACCTAGTGAGACAAAGAGATTGTTTAGACCTGGTGTGAAGACCTGGTGTTGCTGCTGAGAGCCAATCACAAGTGGTCATCTCGAAGTACAGGTGTGAAAGCATTGAGGCCGAGATCTGAATATTCTCGAAACACCCTCCGTGCTCTGCAGTGGTTTTTCTAGTTTTTTAACTCTTGAATTGGGTTCCTCCCTACAGAAACACAATGGAGAAAATAACAGAGAAACTTCTGCTGGAGAAAGGTTCTCCAAAAACCAACAGACTGGACCAAATCAAGACTCTGAAGTAAGCAGGTGTTTTTTTCTCCCTATTTAGTGTTTGCTTTGTAGGTGTCTACAACCTACATACCTCTCCTTTAACGTTGCAGTGTTTGTACGTTAGCTAGAAAGATTTGATTAAAATTTCAGGAGCATCGATCTCAGCCTCACCATTCTGCACACAATTGATTGTGTGAATCCAGAGCCCTGAGATAATCTAAACTTTTAAAGTAAACGATAATGCTGGGATAAAAAAAGAAAAGTTTGCAACAGATTATATTTGATTCCCTGCTATACGGAAACACTAACTGGAAGCTCTCTGCTCCTCTAGTCTGTCCAAGCTCCAACTGAAGCATCAGGATTTGCCAGTCAAGCTGCTGTCCAACCTCCGGTCCCTTGAGCGGTGGGATCTGTCTGGGAACAGACTCCAGGAGTTTCCCAAGAACCTGAAGCTGCCTGCGCTTCGCTCCCTGGACCTCAGCGACAATCAGATGGAGGATGTTACGACTCTGCAGTGTCTAAGCAGTTTGGAGGAGCTGAAGATTGAGGACAACCTTTATATCACTGTGAGGACATGGCTAAAAATTATGCTTTGGAGCACCTCTCCTAAATATATTGGCTATATTTGTATTTTAATGAAGTGGTGCTGATCTCCATGAAACTGCTCTGACGCTATAAAACCTTGAGCAAACAAGCGCAAACTAATACCAGATATGTTAAGTTCAAGGACAAACATGTTAGTATAAAAAGATCCTCACTTAGTAATGAGATGATTTGCTTAATTAGGGGGAAAGGAATAATAAGTAGACTATTAATGTTGCTTCTCTTCCTCAGGTGAGCGATAATCACAAGCTGATGGTCTTGTTACCCAAACTGAGGATGTACAACGGTAAAGATGTCAGTACCAATGCCAACCACTTGCGCTTTGTCTACACTGAGAACCTGAGGACCAGGGTATGACACTGACTGATTATTTGGACTGGTGTGTCAGTTATCAATCTACATTTCCAGGCTCTTCCTGCCGTCAGTGAACAAAATGTCTCTCATTATTTTAGACAATCGCAGTTTGGGAGAAGAGCTTCAGTCTCCCAGATCCCGTCACAGCAGAGAAGCTGTCGACCCTGGAGAAAAACTTTGTCGATGCCGCCCGACACCAGGTTAAATTTGGACCCAGCTCAGTCTCTGACTTCACCAAGTGGAAGGTTGGTTCAGGATGTCATGTGCAGGCATGTTCTTTTGTTTGGCCTTCTGTCATTTTTGGTGAACGTCTCTGTCTTTCATTTGGTTTTAGGTGGAGATTATAGCTAAGGAGTACCTGCTCTCTCTGGTGGAACCAAAGAAAGAACCGGAGAGCAACGAGTTCACTGATACAAAAGACAACTGTGTAAGGACTTGAAGGATGAACTGCTATGAATGAATGAATGAATGTCTGTACCAAGCTTTACTGGATGGTCATCATGACTTTCAAACTAAACAGTGTCTTTAGATTGTAACGGTTTTTCTCACTGGGCAACAGAGAAAATTCAAAATGTCCACAGCAATGGTGTATTATATATTCAAGGAATAGTAGAGACATTGAGGCATGTTGAATCTGTAACTAATTCGTACCTGCAGTGTGGTTTATATCATGTACTTGCTTTTTTCAGGAAATCTCAACTCCTACCAAGAGGAAAAAAACTGCAGAAGTGGACGCCAACGTAAGTCTGACACCTCGCAAAAAGCTGCGTTCAGATCCCACAGACTCCCCGGTCCAAGGCAGTCCTCGCAAATCTAGCCTTCGCCTCAAATCTCAGACCGACGGCGTCCGGATGAGCCCCCTTAAGACCGAGCAGCCCCAGTTAACCCCCACCAGAGGACGACCGAGGACAGAGACGCCCAGGAGAGCTTTTAAAAAAGAGGACGGAGCAAATCTTGACATGGAGGAGATTATTAACAAAAAAGACTTTACTGCTACAAAGCTGCAAAAAGACTTGATGCCGACAGTGAAGAGCTGCAGCAAGGTAAAATAAATATTTGAATAAGAGTAATGACTGTGAGGCAGCTGCATAAATGCCAAACAATGTCTGTATTGGGTTAGTCTAGATCACAGTCGGCTATTTTTTGGTCTTCAAATCATTTTTTAGATAATATATTTGTCCAAATTGGAACATAACCTTCTAATTTTTGGTAATGCTTAAATTAAGTCGTGTTCTTTCCATTGTTCGTCTTTGTATCTGTACAGTACTTAATGGGTCCCTGTTTCTTACCCTCAGCAGCCGTTGCGTCTGAAGCCTCTACATGTTCTCCAGTGTCACAGTAAACAGGACAACTCAGAGGATTTCTCTACTCAGCTGTGGGCCTGTGCTTTCCAGCCGCTGCCAGATTCCACTGGTAATGTTGAACGTGACGATCTGTTCCCTCACATATGTCAAAGCAGCCGCAGAGCCGTGTTTTTAAAGGGAGACTGTAATATGTCTAACTTTCTTTGTTAATCTCTCTCCTGTATTGACAGGTGGTTCTGCTGGAAGCCGCTTGGTTGCGACCTGTGGAGGAGACTCTGTGTGTGTGATCGACTGTGAGGCGGGGATGGTGATGAAGAAGTATAAAGTTTCCGGAGAGGTCTGCTCCATTTATTCTCCAAGATTTCAGTAACTTTGTTTCGAATAACTTTGGCCGAATTTGCTTGTGAAGGGAAAAACTCAAGACGTCACTGAAATTAATCAAATTTTTCATCCTCGTGATCAATATCTGAAAGCTGCCACAGTTTCTCCCAATAACAAATCATCTATGTTTTAGCTTGAATGAATCTTACAGTCATTAGCACACAATATCAATTTAAATCCAATAATTATTTTTGTAAGTTTTTATAAAACTGTGATGGACATGATAAAACTGGTGCTGCAGGAAAAGTAGCCTAATGTTAGAAAAAGTGTGTGAATAAAAAAATCGTGTTCATGTCCTAAACTTTTGCTTCTTTCTTCAAACAGGAGTTCTTCTCGTTGGCTTGGTCCGTGGTGTTGATGTCCAGGGGAGGCGGGGCCTCGGCTCAGCACTGCAGCATCCTGGCGGCCGGTGGAAAGAGAGGACTCGTCAAACTGATCCACCCCAGAAACAACGTGGCCTACGGGGAGTTCAGAGCCAGTCGCAAGGCGCTGTCCATCCTCCGCTTCAACCACCAGCAGGGAAACTTCCTCTTCAGTGAGTCGCTTCTTACAGATTAAAATCCACAGTTTACACAAACAGTCTCCTGGTTTAACTTTGAACCGCCGCATTCAATCTTTTTCACTTTTGAAATAAAGGTACATTTGTTTTATACGAGTCTCGGGATCTTTGACAGTCTTACTTTGCTAGCAGAGTACGACGCAAGCATTTGTTCACCCCTCATCTTTTCTCTGGCAGCGGGTTCATATGATAAAAAGATCGTGATGTGGGACATCGGTGGAGTGGACAGCCAGTACAACTTCAAAGTTGTGTGAGTATTTCTGCCTCTGTAATTCACTGATTACAAAGGTTTCTTTAGAACAACATGTTCATTTGATAGTTAGACCTTTTTCTTTTTAAAACAAGTAACAAAGCTCTGTGTGTTGAATATTGTTTTTATTTCATCTGACGAAGGGGTTTGTACAATCTGACGTCGTTTTGCCTCACTATCACATGTTCTTTAATCGTTCATCTTAAGATGAGCTCAGAGGTTCAGGCTGTGATGTTGACAATATTTCTGCTCGGTCTGTCGATCCAGTCAGCTGCTGCTGTTGGAAACCAGTGCCACCCCCCTGCACATCTGCCTCCCTCCCACGTCCCCCGGCGCTCACCTGCTCACGGCCTGCGAGGACGGGCTGCACTGCTTCAACACACAACCCGGCACCAACAACACCACCAAGAGGTAAAGACACTTATCATATGTAGACGCACAGATGTTTGTGTGCTGGATCCAGTGTGCTCTCATCCATTAAGTGTACCTTCTCCTCAAAACACCTGTCTTATCTAACATTTCTATCACTCGTTCAGTGCTCTTTTCAAATATGCTTGTTTCGCTGTTCATTGAAAATAGTCATTAGTTTTTAACACCACTGCACTTCCTTGAATCCCGGCAACACACCTGCCAAGTCAGAAGCAGTTTGGATGAACTGTTCTTCAGATGGGAACATAACCGTACATACACTACACGTTTTATAGTAAGATGGTTGAAATAAATGCCCTCACATTAATGTAGAAACAACAGCACACGTCTGTATGACACTGGGTTTGTTGTGTGGAGTTTTACTGTGTATTTAATGAAACACACTGACATGCCGGAACAATATAACATGTTTAATTCTTCATTAGGTCCAAGGAGATGGAGATAACGTTCCCCATTTATAAGAAGGAAGACAAAGATCATGACTATCACACTGTTGATGGCCTCAGTTTCCTTACTAATGACATAGTGGGTAAGAAAAGCTCTTAACGGTGTATTTGTTATATTTACAGGACCTTGAAGATATTCTCCCTCGTGCTTTATCTCTCATTTTAATCTTTTTTCTCCTCTAGCCTCCAAGAACCACCTGCATGGTTCTATTTACTTGTGGAGCTGGAGCAGGACAAAGGCTCAGCGGCCGGACAAGAAGAGCAGGACGGTGTGTGCGGTGGTTCTGGCTGAGCTGCAGTGGGCCGACACAGAGATTCCTTACCTGGCTCTCAACACCTGTCCCGGTAAGTTCACATCAGCAGTCGAGCTGCGTTTATCATGTTTGTTTCATTCTCAAATCATCTTTCAAGTCAAGTTTATAGAATGAGTTTAGAGGGTTCACAGCACTTGGGGTAGCTAGAGGGCGCCAAAGGCAGTCGAGTGAATTTCCACAGTGCTCCGCAGACTTTTATTACCTTCAGCTGTAACAGTTTGTTCCATACAAGGAGGCAGTCGGCCATATGTTTGGATTGAGGAGTGGGAATTGACAGAGACAGTTTGTTCTGCTTCAGGACGGCCACAGTACATGTGTCTCTAAAAAAGAATCAGATATTGTCAACTCACTCCAGAGGGGCAGCTGCCCTGGCACATCTTTATTACTTTAATAATTAAATCAATAGAGCAATGTTAAAAATTCCAAATACATATAATTTCTATCTATATTAAAAAATATAAATATGAGAAGTTCGATTCAAATGGAAACACGGATGTCCTATTAAAAACATGTAAGTGCTTTATGATGAATAGTAATTTACTTAAGAGGCCATGCAATTAGTTGTGATGTTTAAGATAAGGGGTTAGGGAATGTGTTGTGTTGAGCGAGTTGTTCCCACTTTGATAGTGACACTTACATATGTGTGTGTGGTTTGGTCCTCTCTCTTTAGGACAAGCCTACGTAGTGTGTGGTGACCACAAAGGACGACTGTGGACGTACCACATCACCAACCTCCAGAACAACAGTTCCCAGAGTGGGAAACCCATACAGCCCACTGAGGTGTCGCATATAAATGTTCCTTTACTTACTATAACTGTCCTTGCATGAAATATTGTTGGTTAAGCCAATGTCAAGGAAATTTTCTCTTATAATTCCCTCTGTAAACATCTACGATTAACAGACTTTTTTTTTTTTGTCTTGGCAGGTGTTGGAGTGGCCGACGCCGGTGAGGAAGAGTCACAGCCAAGTGGAGGGCCCCTCCATCAACAGTGTAGCTATGGACCCTGAGCTACACTACTTGGTGGCCCTCAGTGACAAGAACATGGTGATAGTGTGGAAAAAAGACGAGAGCTCCTGAAGGGAAATCATACAGGTTATTAGAGTTCGTGTACTGGAGAAAGAACAGTACAGAGTGTACCAAATGTTGGTACTTGTAAGAGTACCTCCAATACGGAAGTGTTGGAACATTACAATTTCAGTTAACGTCCATACTGGGAGTTTCTCCAGGAACTGGTTTATTACTCATTTCCCTCAGTCTGTGTAAGGAAAGTGTTGACGCTGCTGCAGTTACATCTGTCAGAACAAAAAAAAAAACACCTGATAGTTTAAAGTTATACAATAACAATTCTCTGTATTTTCTATTTGAAAAATGTCTCATTCTGCACAGAATTTAAGCTTCTGAACTGCACGCTTTTATACTGGAAAGGCACAACTGAATGCGATAGTCGAGTAAAGTAGGGAAAAGAGTTATGGATTGTCACTATGTGACATTTTTATGTAATGTACACATCCAAAAAGTCCATCCTGAACACATGATTTGTTACAAAAATGATATGCAATCATTCAACAAACAAAAAAAATGTCTGTAATTTAGGTATAAAGGACTTAGACCTTTAAATCAGCAGAAGAACTATATATAAATATGCGCAATTTATAAAAAATAACAGACTCCACACTGTAAATTTAGCTGTAAGTGGCCTCAGGTATATTTATTTAAGGCCTTTGCTCAGTTTCATATTGTGGTTTCAGTTGGATTTTAATGAAGTGACTCTATGTTAAATATTACTTTCTTCAGTTGTAATAAGAAGCAACTGACACAACTACTTTCTTGTTCTTTTACTTAATGAGTAAAAGAAGCAACTGAGCACGGTCCAGTTCACCACTGGCCAAATAACAGAGTTGGATAAGAAATATCAAGAGAAATATCAGCAGACCTGCTTCTGCTCTAGACATGGTGTTGTGATCTGTCCAACAGCTATTTTCAGTCATAAATATAATTTATGCATTTTAAAATATAGTTGTTTCTTTTATCTAGAAATGTACTTATTTATTTTTAATAACCACACATGCTTGAACTGTTGCTGAGAAAGACCAGCCTTGGACCCGTCTGTATAATGATGCCTTGTAATGTGCTGAGATGTTCAGGAAAGCAAACACAGCAGAGTTGACTGCTCCGCAAGGACGAAGTGAAGATGCAGCTGGAAAGTGATTGCTGAGAAAATGGATGGAGAACAGCGTGTTCCTTCCTGTTTAATTATATTGATCTGAACACAAAGTTTTATCCCAGACTAGTTTACTGAGCCTGAGTATTTGTACCAGTTTTGTACATGAACGTTATTCATTTAATAAAAAAAAAAGACTTGATTTGAAAAGAATAAACCAAAGGTGTCAGTATCTTATTTTATTTCAACTGTACCATGTATTCTGATTAAATCTGACATTTTCAGATTTAACAGAAAAGGTGTCTGAACACAGTCAATCCGAGAACAAAGGCTTCCATGATGTTTGTTCTGGGATTTAACAAATAAATTACCTTTCAATTCGTTCATCGAAAAGCTGCATAATATGGGTCCTATAACGAGGAAAGACAAATATCTCATCGTCACACTCCGTCTGGATTACTCTGTCAAAGCGTCCTTCACCTCTGAATAACAACCATCTGCTGGTGACTTCTGGGTAAAGATACCACCAGAGTGCTTCGACCATATAGCACGACCTTGACTTTTAATGCCAAGAATCAAAAAATGAGTCCGTGACGGGTATAGATGTTAGCAGTGATAATCGGCCAAATATGAGGTATTCATTTCTGTAAGATCTGTTTTGTGTTTTAAATTTTCTGACATTTTGTGAGACTCATTCTTCCTGCGATGTCTAAGAAATAAACTATAATAAAATAAGTAGATTTCTCTTTTAACTATTAACTCAGGAAACAGTTAAACAGATAAAAAAACACTTGTGAATATTGCACAGTTGGTGTCTGTGTGCAGATAGAGGTAACTCAATACCGATTAGATTCAATTTGACTTTAAACACTGATTCCATAAATCTGTCTCATTTCATTTTATTTTTATTTTCTTTCTCTGTATATGTATATTTTTCAGTTTGTTTTGTACAAATTTATATATATATATATGTGAAAACATATGTATGTAAATATGATTATTATGATGTATCACCGGGTGACACATATGTCTAATTAAAAAAAACATTTCTGTCACCCCAGGTTAAAGGTGCAGTGTGTAGAATTGAGTGAGATCTAGTGGTGAAGTTGCATATTGCAGCTGAACACCCCTCACCTCACCCCTCTCTTCCAAACATGAAATCGAACCTGTGGTATCCTTCAGTCATAAAAACTCAAAAGGTGTTTAGTTTGTCCAGTTTGGGCTTCTGTAAAAAAAACCCGTAGTGTAGTGAAGAAGAACCGGCCAGATGTAAATATAAAGGAGACATTCTAGAGTGAAGAAAACAACAATTTGTACGATTTAGATGAAACACTAGTGAAAATATCCCTGAGACTATTTACATTCAATGTCTGCCAATAGAAACCCTTTCACCTGCATTTTACACAAATAACTACCCAATGCAAGTATTGTAAATGTACTGTAGGGTTCCTTATAACAGACTGATAGACTGTAGAATTGCAGCATGCATATATATATATATATATATAYATATAAATATATATATAAAAACAAAGTAAAGTGAATTAACATGTGAACTCTACTGTACAATGGTAGGAGGAGGAAGGGGGGAGTGATGCTGCTTGGCCCCGCCTCTCTCTCTCTTGCTGATTGGCTCAGCTGTCGTGTCGTCATCCCTGCTCGCTCCGCCATTGGCCGACGCGTACAAAGCCCTTTCTGTTCTTCGTACTGTACCACAGACGTGCACCATCATGGCTCGATCCCCGATGGCCCCGTAGCAGCATCCGAACCCTCGGCGCTCGTACGGGTCAGGGTCACAGCGACCTGTTCACGCGCACAAGAAGCCCTCCCGCACGCCTCGTGTCCAGATGCGTCCCGGGCTGGCGGGTTTGGCGGCGGAGATGCTGAGCGGTGCTTCGTGCAGGACCAGGCCGAGGATCGGCAGCCTCTTGCTGGCCCCGGTCACCAAAACAGCGCCGCCGCCTCCGTCCAGCGCGGAGAGCCCCCGATTCCGCTCCACGTCCTCGATGCAGGGCTTCTCGGAGCTGGCGAGGGAGAGGTCCAAGTCCGTCACGTCTTTCTACAACCAGTCCGCCATCGATGTCTCCGCAGAGAAGGTAAGACAGGGGTTTTTTTATTATTTTATTTTATTTTTAAAAACCCGGTTCCCAGCCTCTCCGGAGCCGTTGTCCCCTCCGTGTCCAGTCGCGGTAAGCTAGCTCTAGCTTGACAGCAGCGTTAGCCGTTAGCCGCACCGTGTGTGTGTGTTGTGTTGTGTTCAGGGACACAGCAAAGGCAGTGAACGCAACTTTTTTTTTTTTTGGGGTGGGCTCCACTTCAATTGACAGCTTCACGTTACTTTGACAGTCCAACGAGAGCACATCCAGACAGCATGTTCCCGACTGTCCGAAGTCACCGAGCAATGTTCCGGTCGCTCTTACCGCTATTTGGATCGATTTTCCCGCAGGGCTTGAACGCGGTGTCATTGGGTTGTTCACTGGTTAGCTAGCTAGTTTTTTGTATTTTTTTTATCGCGTTTAATTCAGCTTAATAATCATTAAAATCACACAAACGTGTGATTTATTCTTGATGGTGTTGAAGAAAAGCTGTGATTGAAACTATAACCGCACAGAAGGTCAATGATATCAGATCAGTTGGTCTTTGAACGCAGCTGTGTTAGTGTTGGGTCTGTCTTTTTTTGGCTTTTAATGCAAATATTCAACATTCAGTGAGATGAGATAGAAACGTGCCAGCTCATAAGTATCAACGGAAAGTTGTCTTACACAAACATATCCTGTTCTCTGATAACACTGCCACTCCTCCTTCCCACTAATTTAGGTTGTTCAGTCCATGTTTGCCCCAAAAGTTCACAACAATCTCAGCTCCAGTGTTTCTCATGCAGCTGCACGTCAAGATCAAACACTGAGATAGGATAAAATACCTCTTCAGCGCTTTTTAAAACACAGGCGTGTTGTGTCTGCTGAGACTGGATCTCTGGAGTTTTTGGGGATCGTCTGATCTCTGCTCTTTCTCTACAATCTGGTCCACTTTTCATCTTGTTCCTTGTGTACCAGACAGTTTTCAATTTGGTACAGACGTGCACTCATGCCTCCCTGCACTTGAGCAAATATTTTCACAATGTCGTAGCAGCAGGGGTCATTGGAGGGTAAACACCGTCACACAGCCTATAACGTTAATGGCTGTTTCACTCTTGTGCACCACTTTGGCCTCATGCACACCCGGTATTATTAACATGAGATCTGATCCCAGTGTGAGGCGTTTGTTTGCACCTTATATCCATGAGTCCCTCCATATCAAGATAAGAAATGTAGATACAGCAGGTCCTAGCAAGAACTGGCAGCCGTGGTAACGTTAGCTGAGTTCACATGAAAGAAGACCTATGATTATGGATGACATAAGCTGCAGCTGAATTTCATTTATTTGAAATTTCCTTCCACACAGGTCAAATACTCTACTTTTCTTTTTTTTACATTATAGTCAATTTAACTCTCAATGTGATTATCACGAGCATGAAACATCTTTGTACAACATCGTCTTGTAGGTGTAACAGTCTTGTTGACTCAGTGCCCTGAAAACCACTATCCACTGAACTGTGATTCACCACCTGCTGTCTCACACTGGTTCCTCTCCCACAGTACGTGACTAGTAGCGTGTTTCCCTGGCTGAGCCTGGTCAACTCCCTGCTTAGTGCACACAAATATACTGTGTATAACACTATATAATGTATATATATAATGTATCACTCAGTAGCTTTAAAATAAATGTTTGGATCAGAGTTTTAAATCTCTAGTACTAGTATTTCTAATAGAGCACAGCCAACGTCCACATTAAAGAGTTAAAACATATGATATTAATACATTAGCTGATATAAATACGTTGACATAAGCTTAATGACGCTATTTGAATTAGTTAAATCAGAATGCCCGGAGGGAAATTCAAACATAGAGTTGAGCCCAAGGTACAAACAGTGTTTCGTTTGGAATAGGTTCTTTCGTGGCTGCTAATTTTAGATTTGAGAACCAGCACACCTTTTGTTGAAGGTGTCCTTAATGTCTGAATGTATGCTGCTAAGGAAATGGTGAGGATTCAGCTGTCTGTTTCATAATGAATGTTTTTAGCAGAAAGTCTCAGTCCCATTAACTTGATCTTGATCTGTCTTTTTTCTCCTCAGGCCTCAGTGCGACTGACCTTGGCCACCCTGCTGTATTCTGGGAAGTCTCCTGATGGACATCACATCTTGGTAAATACGTCCGCCACATTGAGTGTACCTGTAAAAAGATTCTGTTTGATGTCTTTGACTCTTCACTCTGTGTTTGTTTGTGATTTCAGAGCAGTGCCAAGTACCTTCACAAAGAGCTGCCTGTACGAATCGCTCATCGCATCAAGGGCTTCCGCAGTTTGCCCTTCATCATTGGCTGCAACCCCACAATTCTGCAAGTGGTAAGAACACAATTCTCACCCAGCACTGCTCCTGGAGTGAAGCTTTAAATGAAGTGAGGGAACATCGGTCTGTCAGTGGATGTTATAATAAGAAAGTGACCACCAGGCCTCAGCACAGGAAAGGCCTTGACTAAATTTTGGATGAAATTAGCAAAGAAGTTTCACATACTGAGTGTGTGTGTGTGCAGCTTCGGCCTCCATTGTAGGTAGCGCACTCATTACAGAGTTGGCAGATCCATTTGTCCCACATGTCCTGTCCACATTAAGTGTTCCTGGGCTGCACACCAAATTACCCCTGATGCCCAGGCCAGCACCTTCCATTGTAACTCACTGCCGTCAGTGTGAGTGAGAATGTTGTATGAAAAGCTAATTTAAAAGAAATGCAGCCATTGAGCTCGATTTACAGAGTGTCAACACAGCTGCAGTGACACAGGGAGGGTGTAGCATGTCTGTTGATGGGAGTGGGCCTGAGAGACATTGGACTGAAAAGACAAAAATACTTTTGCACTGAGCGACATACAAGAGTCAGTCACATAAACACATTGGACTGAATGTAATTTGTCAGATTAAACAACTTTGTACGGTTTAGAATGTTCTTTTTATTTAGACGTTCAGGCTCGACGTGAACTAGTGATACTTCTGGAGCAATGATTTTCTGCTGCTGACAGTTCCTGTTTTCAACACTTCGAAGGTCGTTCTGATGAAAACCGTCCACGGTCAATGTATGGAGGTGTCAGCATATGTCTCATACACAGTTGTCCCAAACCCTCAGTCAGTAGAACCCATAAATCTGACTCTGAAACATAAAGCAGTCACCAGATTTTCTTGCACGTAAACAGAAGCAGTAAAAACGACACCAGAGCCTGGATCAAAACATGTTGAGGCCATTGTTTTTATTTTTAGTGAGAGTTTGTTCACACAGGAAACGTTCTCTCTGTCTCTCTATCTCTCTCTCTCTCTCTCTCTCTCTCTCTCTCTCTCGCTCTGATTTTGCAAGCAGGCCCTTCACAACCAATTCACCGCCTCTGCGCTCTTCAACTTTCACCTAGATTCCTTCCTTTCTGGCATCACGCAGCTCCTCTGTGCTGATTGCATAAAGCGTTGCTCCCCTTGAACGCCACCAGTTAAAATGTAGGTTAGGGTGGCTTAACTCACTCCCACAGCTCCTTCATTGACAAGTAACACAATGGTCGGCGCAGGTTTAGAGTTTCAGCTGATCCACGTCATGAATGAAAGCCAGATATGATTTCAACTCATGTGTAACTGTGCAACAGGGACTATTTTCTGTAAAAGGAGATGTTCAAGCTTTGTCGGTCAGAAGTTCTTGCTTTCAAACGTTCTGTTTTGTAATGTGAGCCACGTGTGGAGTTGTGCTGACTGCAGGGCCCAGTCAAAGGGCTGAGCTGCTAGTGTGATTATTTCTGGTTGGATGGACGATGATTGAAGAACCAGTCTAACTAAAGCCTCCACCTCTCTTCTCCCTTTTTCTTTTACAGCATGAATTGTATATCAGAGCGTACCACATGGTCAGTGACTTTCCGCAGGTGAGTGTCCTACACACACACACAAACACAAGGTTAAGAGTTCAAGTTCAAGTCCATGACCACAAACAGGAAGTGTGAACATTTGCTGTCACTTCTGATAGTCTTGGCTGTTGCAACTCCAGGATTGGTTGAGCTGATGCTGAATGTGTTTTTCACTCAGATATTTTCCATCACATCACGTCTGAATAAAAAGCCCCAAGTGTCGTGCGAACCCCAAAAAACTCAATGTTATTTCATTAACAAAGATTTTTGTATAAAAAAAGAGACTCACATCTGATTGATTGAACAGAAAGAGGTTTGTTTGTTTGTTTCGCCATTTAAATGGTTTATCTGGCAGAGTCAAATAAATACTTACCCACCCATGAACCAGGCAGCACTAAAAGTGGAGTAATAAGTTTTATACATGTATGTTTGTATCAGTGCTGGGTGGTCTGAAACTAAGATCATGTATGTTTTTAACATCATGTAGAGTCTGAACTGTAACTGACAAAAGCTCACAACTTGTGCAATCTTAGTTCTCTCTGGATTCAGTTACAGAAAATATGTGCAGGGTGGAATGTGGGTCAGTCATCGTGGTTGTTACGTCTTGACAGTGACAGTAAACAGCCTCGGCTTTGACTTTTTACTCGGCTGCTATGTCCTCAACAAAAAAGACAAACATATCCCACTTGTTCCTGTTCATACATATAGACCATTCTGCTCTGCTCTATATAAAGACAGCTGGGCGTGTGTGCGTTGGTCGGCATGTGTAGGCGGATTTAGACGGGATCATTCTGTTCTGAAAACTTGCCCGCTAGCTTTTCTATTTTTTCAATGTATACGTAGATTCTGCAGATGCCAGAAAATGTATATCTTACAGTGGCTTTATGTTAAGTATGCCCCCTGCTGGTTAATAGCATTAAATCCCCAAGAATGTTGTTTTTCTGAAAACATTGAACAGATTAGGGGAATGTCAGAGATGCCAGCAGGTGTTATTAGTTCTGAAGGTTGAGATCAGCTCTTGTTCACCAGAGGTCAAAGGTTCTTTCATGTGCACATTGTCACAAAACAAATTCTCTTACTTTCATTTTCTTTTATGGACATTTATGTTCATAATTAATATGAAGTTATCGTATTTCTGTAGGTTTTTCACAATAAAAGCCAGAAAAGGATTTGATTATCCCCTTTGATCAATTGGAGGCCTTCGTTGTGAAACATACTGTATATGCAGCATGTGTATAAACGATTAATGAATGAAAACTGTGTTTGTGGTGAGTATTATGCAACTCTGTCGTTCTACTTCTGGATTTATTCCTGTGAAACTTTACATCATGCTGAATTTATCAAAGCATCAGGTAAACACGGATGGAAGTGTTGAGTTTAGCGCTGAGAGCAAATTAAAGCAGGAGTAGAGAAACCAGTGACTTTGCTTTGATCCTGTTAAAATTGAAGGAGGTGACCGTGTCGATATGTGGTGATTTTGTTTTGACAGATCAAGGATCAGGACGTGGAGGCTCGTTTCTGTAAACTGGTGCAGCAGCTCCTGGACGACCACAAAGATGTGGTCACCATGTTGGCTCAGGGCTTCAGGGAGTGTCGCCGACACATCCAGGTGAGAGCTGTCTCCCTCCACACTTCACGATTGAAGACAGAGAAAGTTCAACTGTAGCAGGGATGTTGGAGATCATCCATAACTGATGATCCTATAAAGAGACTTAGACTAAAGTTTTGTTTGATTTGAGTTTTGTCTGGGAACATTTCTTTACCCCCCCCTCGTTTTTTCAGGATGAGACAATTATCCGCAGCTTCCTGGATACAACGCTGTGCTCTCGTCTGGGAATCCGAATGTTGGCCACGCACCATCTCGCCCTCCACGAAGATAATGTACATCTGAAAGTTTCTATGATTCAAATGATTCTAAACCTTAAGTGTTTTGTTAACGTAATGTATGCTAAACCAGGTTGATTTTCATATTCCTCAAACATCGGTGGGGCCTGCTTAAACATAGGTGTCTGTGTTTTTAGGCTGATTTTGTCGGGATCATATGCAGACGCCTCTCTCCCAAAAAGATCATAGAGAAGTGGGTAGACTTTGCCAGGTGAGTGCTTGTTTACTTATCACCTTTAGATGACTTTCTGCTTCTGTGTGACGCAGGGGGTCAGAGTTTATATAAATAACGCTCGCTCACATGCAGCGTTTTCACCCCCGGAGCTGTGAACGAGATATGAGCTATCTGTCCTGTTTACTTTAGTAATCTTATCGTGAAGTGACTTTCACTGAGTTCAAAAAGAAAAGTTCACGTTAAATCTCTCTCTCTCTGTGTGTGTGAGTGGGTGTGGGGACACCAATAATCAGTGAATAGCACGGAAATGAGCTCGGCTGTTATTGAACGTGTCAACACAACGAATCCGATATGGATAAGCTTAGTGTGGAAATTAGATTTACAACAGCAAAGTAACTGGCAACATGTATACAGGTCCCATTTGGGTGATACAGAGAAAAAACTAATTAATAAATACTATCTTTGTGGAAAACTTAGTTTTTCATATGTTCCCCTTGTCCACCAGACGTCTGTGTGAGCACCAGTATGGAAACTCGCCCAGGGTGAGGATCAACGGACACGTAGCCGCTCGTTTCCCCTTCATCCCTCTGCCTCTGGACTACATCCTGCCCGAGCTCCTCAAGAACGCCATGAGGTAATGTTCCCACCCGTTTTCCAGATTGACCGCATCTGTTTGTGTTTTTTGCGGCTACGTGTCCAGGAAACTAGGAATAATTTAGCAAATTTATTTCTGTCATCCATAAATCATAACATCCCAACCCTGACATCTGTGTGTTCCTCCTCAGGGCCACGATGGAAAGTCATTTGGACACCCCGTATAATGTGCCTGATGTGGTCATCACGATTGCCAATAACGACCTTGATTTTGTCATCAGGTGAGCGGCCGTTCAACTGCAGCTGGAATATTTCAATTTAAAAAACAAACTTAAATGAGCCAAGGATTCAGTGAGTTTGTTGTCGGAGTGTTAATGTGAAACATAAGGATGTGACGGTGGCAGAGTGTTGTGCTGCTCAGAGCTTTTAAACTTGTAAATCTTTTGTTTCAGGATTTCAGACCGTGGCGGCGGCATCCCTCACAATATAATTGACAAAGTGATGGACTACCACTTCAGCACGGCTGAGGAGAGCGCGCAGGACCCTCGCATGAGCAACCTCTTCAACAACATTACCAACAGTGGAAACCAGTCCAGCCCGATGCATGGGTAAGAATGTACACTGTCTTTGTTAACTATAGAATTGTTCACATACTTTCTGAGTACTACATGTGTACTATGCCCGTTCCTGGAGTATTTCACTAGAACAAAAACGTATTGCCCCTACTCGTGTTCATTTCTGAGAACAGATACAGGAAACACAAAGCAGCCGTGATGTGTAGCAAATATATCAGCGGCCTTCGACGCCTGTATTTCTTTCCACTGACCTAAATAAACATAAACGTTCATAGACCTCTGATTTCACGTCTAAAACAAATCCAACTGCATTTGCACGTGTGTTTTTGTTAAGTAAATGGTAAAAGGTCTATTTCTATAGCATGTCTCTGCTCTGGATGATCACTCAATACTCTTTGCAGTAGTTTTTCCATCCACTCATTCAAACTGGTATTCGTACGGTGCAGCACTTCCTCTCATCGTGAATCTGATTGCACATGTCTTTGTTTTCTTTTGCAACATGACCAGACATTTTTCCTCTTGTGACATATTTTTTGAAAAGCTTTTTGTTCGAAAGAAGACGACGCAGAAATAAAAACACATTTTCAAACTGACTCAAATTGTGAAGAGGACGCAGGGAGAGTGTGGATTTGTGTTCATGACATTACCACCACCTGTATTTACCTGCACTGTACGTGTTTATCCATGTTTTGCGGACATCAAATGATTTTCATTCGGCTGTGAAACAAACAGATATGAGTCTGTGCTTCAGTGTCTGTGTCTTTCTCTCCTGCAGGTTCGGCTTCGGCTTGCCCACGTCTCGGGCCTACGCTGAGTACCTGGGCGGCACCTTGTCCATACAGTCTATGCAGGGCATCGGCACCGACATCTACCTGCGTCTGCGCCACATTGACGGCAAAGGAGAGAGCTTCAGAGTGTGAAGCTGACCCTCTCGTCATCCCTGTAGATCCCAACCAGGGATTCAGGCCATGCAGGAGTGCAGAGGATCTTCTTCCTCCAGGGAGGCTGGCATGGACTACAGGACTTTGGTCCACAGAGTGATAACCGACACAGTATGTTGTCAGAAAAAGCTCCTAATTTCACCAACTCACTACTTGTTTTTTGTTTTTTTTTGCCTTAGACTGATTATAAGCTATGTTAGCTGTCAACTTGATTTCATTTGTTTTTCCTTTTCTGTGTTTTGTACCGTGTGGCTTGTTGTCTTGAAGTTTTTCGGGGGTGTATGAACTTTTGATTGTGTAGGTTCACGGGACAAGCTGCGCATGACAGTGATGTCAATGAGAGAGGAAGGAGAGGCTCACTGTGAAGTCACTTGTTGCATTAGCCTCAAAATAGGAACAGACGTTTAGATGGATCATTGTTTCAAATGAATCTTCTGAGACACTCCAGCGACCCTGTCAAAATCTCCTCAATGTGTGTGAAGCTGCTCACGAGCTCCGCCACTGTTTGAATGAACAGATCCTCGCAGTACTTTATCAGCCGCTGGTTTTAGTGTACAAGGGACGATTGTGTACGTTTGCAGTAACAGACAGTAGTTTCACTTCAGGGTCCTCCTATTGAAGGAGGCACGCCCACGAACAAAGGCTCATTTATGCTCGAGCTTGATACGTAAACAGACGAAGGCTTCTGTCCGTACTCTGCATTCTTCTTGTCAGTATTTGTGTTTGACTTCTGAGAGTTTTCAGATGCAGACGAAACAGAAGAAACAGACGGTAGCAAAGAAACTTGGAGGCAGTGTAGCCAGTCAGCGAGAAAACCACTAGACAGGAGGGAGGAAATTTAAACAGTGGGTGAACTTCGTGAGGAGAGACTTGTGAGAAACGACTAACCCTATAGATGTATGATGTCACTTTGACCGGGCAAAGAGACAAACAGCTGCTTTTGCTCTTTCTTAAGGGGAGCGTCATCACAACCTCCTCCAGCGGCACCATGTTTGTTGTTGTCAGAAACTCTCGACTCTGCGCTGCCCTCTGGTGGATGTATTGCTTAGCGTTAGGAAGTCACGGTCGCGTTGTTTTGAAACGGACGTATCTCTTCTCGGACGTAACGGCAGCAAAAATGAGCCTCGAAGTGAGAGCGGGGGGACGACATTTCTCACATAGGTTGGCAGCAGACTGGGCCAGAAGACAGAGGCCGATGACAGTGAGCAGAATATGTCTCCTTTTAAAAACCACACACTTGATGTGTGATAAACCTCAGCCCTGGACAACCAGTAGCATTACTCTACAAACACGCCTCCAGTCCAGTTCAGTCCAGTCCAGTCCAGTCCAGTTCAGCCGTGGCTGAGAAAACGCAGAAGAAAACGCCAAAAAACCACCGAATGCTCATTAACAGATTTCTGTCTTGTTCTGTTTTGAGAACACACGACGAGATGAACATCTTTGATCAGCAGCATCTTTGTGGAGCTTTCAGGCAGGAGAGCCAAGCAAGATGTTCAGTTGCCTTACAGTGTGACGCTTCAACTGCATGCTTTTACTCTCCCCTGCTTTCTTTGCTTCTATTATTATTATTATTATTTTCCGTTGCCTTTATTGGTTCACACAGATGCATGCCCTGTCACTCACTCGTTAGTTTGATGGGGTTTTTTTTTTTTGCACAATGGTCATGTTACGCTCAGCACAAGCACCGATCACAGCAGATTTTGACTTTATTGTATCAACCTTCAGAGTAACAATATACCAGAGAAGTATTATCTTACCTTGTCTTTCTTTTCTGTTGTTTTTTTTTTTTTTTTTTATTATTCACATAATTTTTTTCAGACAATCTCATTTTTTGTTTGTGTTTTTGAAGTAAGTTTTGTATGAGAGCACATTTCAGGACGGTGCAGCAGCAGCAGGGTTTCTGCACTGTCATCTGTGGGAGACTAGATCAGGTTGTTCTCAATAATTATCTCCAGAACACCACTTGATTTTTACCATTTCCAAGACAACAAATAGCCACATCTAATGTGTATTTTGTAAAGTTTAGTTTATGATTTTTAACCCCTTTTTACCTCCTATTTAAAACAAACAAAAAAAGAATAATCTCTACTTCCTCCCACTGTCCAGAAATGAAGCTAAGATATCCTCGACATGAACGTTCTCAAGCGATCGAGGGATGAAATCACAGTATCGAGGTCCTGACATTACACGTTTTGCATAAAGATGGTGGGATTGTCTGTTCCGTAGAGATTCTGCCATCGAACAGGAACTTTCAGACGCTGTTATGAGATCTAACAAACACTTTGTTGGAAGCATATTGAGTCATTTTGTTCCAGAAGTGCGTCTCCAAGCAAAACTGAAGCATTTTGTATTTGGTAACCTGGATTTGGTCTCATCCAGGTTATTATCTTCAAATATCTTAAACACAAAACATGTATTTGTGATCTCATCATCTCAGGATTACAGGCTTCTGAACTTTGTCAGTCTGTTTTTATCAGTCATTCCTTTTGACCTGAGTATTTCAAAACAAAGAAATCCCATATACCGGAAAAAGAGAAAGAAATAATAATATGAGTTAAAATTTAAATTAATATATTCAAGTTGTGATCTTTCCCGAAAGTGATTGGTCGACCCTGGCCTCGCTGAGTTTCCATGAATTAGTTTATACATTTCACAGCAGATGTCTTCTCTTTCCCTGCTGCGGGAACATTCCCCACTCGATCTCAAGCTGATGCGACAGATGCTCTTCAGGTTTATGTTCTGGTTGCGTACTTCACGATGCTGTTTATCTTTTTATTTCAAAGGATGTTGGGAATCTTAACAGGACAACTTTGAAAAATAATCATGTTCAAAGAAGTTTTGATTTTCAAGAGATTCACCCTGTGCATTATCAGTTATATCACTGGCCTGGAGCTGTTATTATTTTTAATCACACATCTGCATCTTTAAAATCTTAAGAATCACATAACTAGTGTAAACTAAATAATGGAAAAGGACAGTTGTTTAAACAAGTTATGAATAGTGGAAGCTTCTGAAATGTGTCGTAATCTTACAAATCAAGTAACCGGTTCTCTTGACGTTGCATGTGCTTTATTTCTCTTTCCAGTGCGTTTACATACAAAATGTTCCTTAAATTTAAGATGAGATTTTGTCTTGTGGGACATTGTGAAAACACAAGTGAACCAGTTATTTCAGTTGTTAGAGATCAGTAACATATTCTGATTTAATCTGCGAGAGGTTCGTCTTTATTTCACCGTTTTATGAACTGTTAACTGTATAACCTGTATTCTTTTCTGAGGCCATGTTTATGACTTCATGTGTTTTATTGTGGATTTGAAGGTCTTGAAGATGTGGTAGCTTGTGCATGTGAAGCTGAAGGGGGGGGGGTTAACGCCACATAGCTTAAACATGGGTTAAAGTCTTGTGTCCTTTTTTCAGGCGCATGATAAAGGATTTGTTCTTCTGTTCCACCATGATGCTGGTAAAATTGTACTTTTTGAATTTGGATGCCTGCAGGATCATGTATGAAGCATTGAAAAACGTGCACTGGCTGCCCTCTGTTGGCCAAAAAAAAGAAGTGTATGCAGAAAATATTGTTCATCAACAACATGCAACGACAAAAAAAAAGTGAATTTTCATTTTCCAGGTTTGGGGTTTTTGTTATTTTTGCAGATAAAATGAAGTTCTCTCTCTGAGAAAATGTGCTGCCATGATGGAATGTTTTGTCTCCTTGACTAAAATCAGCTTCTCCCACATGTTTTCTGTTATGTTGAGGAAACTTTAGACATTAAATTTTATTTGGTTGGAACTTTTGAGTCATCGTTTTTACTTGTTCGTGATCAGACAGTTGAATTTACTCAAAGAAGAGTCAAGAAGGACTTGAACCTTTGTGCAGCGAATCTTCAGCTTTAGGATTTTGGCTTAACTTACATGTACTATCAGAAATATGTGGTCGGTCCACATACGTTTGTTTGCTCGGACAAATAGTGTCTGCAGGTCGGTTCACTGTCATTAATATGATCAAAACAGGTCGACACACTTCATAGATGACTTCACATTCTACTTCTGAATGGATGTGAGTGGTTACAAAAGACGAGGACACTTGATTTAGCATATATACATATTTTAATATTTGAAGTTCTGTTTTGCAGGCTGTGATTTCCATCATCTCAACAAGTCCACACTTTTCATTTCAGAAGCACGAATCCACAAACGCGAGACAGAGTCATTCACTGCGCAGCTAAACTACAAGTGCACTTTTTTTTTTTTCCTTCTCTTCCGAGAAGCGAGAAACAAACAACTGAGCGTCACTTTGGTCAGTCATCGTATTTGGAATGTGATAAACAGGTTGTGATAACGTTTTCCTTTTAAATAATAAACCCCCCCCCCCAAAAAAAACCACAGTAACAAAGTCCGGCCTCGTCCAACAAACCATCTCCTGCTTCTCTCAGTGAAGGCAAACGTACGGTAGGATCGACAATATTTGGAGACGGGTCACGAGGTCGAGCTGATCGCAACATGAGCTTTCATTTCCTTCGCTCATTTCCATTGTGGCGTGTTCTCCCGCCCTGCGAGCCTCAAGAGACTCGGTGCATTTAATACATTTCCAGACAACAACAACAACAAAAGATCTGCTTGTGTTAAAACCTTCAAAGTTCATTAAAAAGGCATCGGTCTGTAAGGCAGAGCTGTATTTGGACAGTAGCACATTCATATTGAAGCAGTTTGAGCAGCATCAGTTGGTTGAATCGACGGGTTTGACACAGGATCCGTATAAAAAACTCTTAGAAGGAAGAAAAACGCTAAAAAGGTCCGAGGCTTGCATGAGGTTTTTTTTTTTTTGGACGTAAAAAAAAACCACAGTGACAACAACGTCTTTGCTATTTTCCATTAACGTGACATTTTAAGACTTAACAGTTTGTTGTTTCTGAACCATGCTGCACCATGCACGCGCACGCACACACACACACACACTCCATCAGCGCAAAGCAGACAAGCAGGTTGCAGCGTGACGCACGACTCGACTTTTTACAAAAACGAGCTCAGTGCAGCGAGAGACGTAAGTGAGTGTTGTCCGTTTTGCCTGTGGGCAAGATTGCTCAAAAACTAAAACACGGATTTTCACGGAACTTGGTGACATGATGTGTCAGAAAAGAACACATTTGATTTTGGTGCAGATCCTTTTCTTTAACATTAAGAAATCTGGCATTGTACAACATTTTCATAGTTTTTTCCTGAAAATAAAAGATGGATTTTGAAAAACAATCTGCCATATTTAGGATCTGATATCTACGAGTGTGTGAAAGTTTCACTTTTTCACCAATTTCCCCGGGAAAAACTCCTGATGGAGGAAAATCAGGCAAATTTAAAAGGACTGATTTGATCTGGATCCAAACACAATTTTTGGATCTAGCAGATTTAAATGTAATTGCGTTCTTCCAAAATTCTGATTTCATGATCTGCATTATTTTGTTTAAGGGAAACGTTGGGGACTCGCCTGAGGTTTTTGCTCGTTGAATATAAATCCTAAGAAATCTGAATCTTTTTGAATCCCTTGTCGAATCCTTTCAACTTTTCACCACGTGTGAAAAACTTTGGCACTCATTATTAATCTGGCTCCAAGTGCTGGAGGTCCTGGATCATAATTATTCACATGATCAGCGTAAATTATTGATGTCACACTGCTGGTTCGAGTAAAATTGCAACTACACTTATCGAGGAGAGTGGTTCATCTCTGTCTTCATATAATCTTTGGCCCAGCAAAATAATCCAAAAATAACTAAGTTATGATCCGGAGTTGTGGCAACTTAAATGAATGTGAATTAGTTTAATAGCTGCAGCTTAAATGTTCTCTGATAAGAAGTGAGGAGAAAATAAATCGAATAAAGAATTCCAGAGTGAATCCGGGTATTTTGCCGACGTTGAACCAGATCCTGAATGGAGCCGATCGTCACGCGACGCTTCCACGCAAACACGAACATGACAAAAACAACATGGCACACGGAACCGTTTAGCCCTTTTGCTGTAAACCTTTTTAAACATTATTATGTGACCGACACAGATTACACATCAACAGACGAGCTGACGGCACAARACCTACGACAGAAATTGACCTTAAGAATAAGTTAGCAGTCTGACATGTGACAGCCATTTGAATCGCAAAGAGAGGAGCGTTAAAGCCTCGGAGTCTGAGCAAGGCAAYATCAACCGCCACCACAGAAGTCAGAGCAGTGAGAGGGTTTAAATAAATGTGGGAGTGGCAGTTCTTAAAGCTGCCGTGAGATCATCACACAGTCAGGAGGCCTCGCTCATGGCCGTCCAGCTGTATCTTAATCTTGTGCAGTTCCTCTATCTCCTGGTGGTGCCGTTCTGTCTTGTGACGCACCAGAGAGCGATAGAAGTGGATGGTAAACACCACAAAAATCACCCCCACCGGGACCATGATGATGGTGGAAGCCAGCGCCGCCTGCCAGCCGCTCTCCAGCCCCGGGGACTTCGTCGTCGCCTCCATCGTGGCGTGCGTCGTGACCTCCGCGGCGCTGCTGCTGCTGGCCTTTTTGACCTCGTTAGAACCTATGGGCAGGAACTTGATCCAGCAGAGGAGCACCACCTCCGTTAAGAACAGCAAGATGCCCAGGGCCGTGGAGAAGCCCCAGGCCAGCTCGATGTAGTAGTGCATGCGCTCGTGGGGCGACTCGCTGACGGAGTTGAGGTTGTGGATGTTGCTGACGGCCTCCACGTTGGGCAGGATGCAGGTGCTGATCAGCAGAGCGAAGAGGTGCACCGCCACCAGCACGGTGGTGCACACGCTGAAGGCGATGAGGAGCACGCGAGGGTAACTGTACTTCACCTCCAGCTGCACCTCCACCATGGCCACCTACAACAACCAGCGATATGCACGACAAGGTTACTGAGTGTCCATGAACGTCATGAACATCATGCATATAAACATTTCATTTAGCTGATGCAACAACCAGCCAGACATCATCTTCGTCACCGAGGTGTAGTCGGAAGAGATGTGAAGACTTGCTGCTGTCCTGGTGTCAATGAGGAGCTCCTCCTTCCACCGTTTAGGAGCCAGGACAGCAAGCAGTCGTGATTTTGTTCTGTGGTTTGGTCAACGTAACCTGGATCATATCAACATGTTTCACATATAAAACTTATTGTAACCTTGAAATGACGATTACAAAAAGAAGAAGAAATCATTTTCTCGGTAACGATATCCACCGTCTACATCAGATGATAACAGATTTCAGTCGGCATGCAATCACAAGGCTTCAAACTCTGCTTGCTTAAAAGCTAAATAATAAAGTTTGAAGAAGCCTGATAATATTGTCCGAGTCAGTTTCAGATAACTCAGTCACGATGGCGTAAACATCGAGTATCCTCAGTTTAACAGCGGAGCCGTTTGAGAATCAAAGATAACAACCCACAGGAAGCCGTCACGTCTCAGCGGCTGAAACCAGAGAATGTTTTGCATTTAACTCCATTAATGACCGAAGCAATTAATAGACTTTGAAAACCATGAAACCAATGTGAGGAAAGAATTCTACGTGTTCAACATATTAATGAGGCACTGCAGCACAAACCCTGGCTTATAATATTTTATATTTATTAATTTATTTTATCAAGATCACTTTTCTAACCCTAACCCTCAAACAGGATGCCCACTTCCTGCCCAGAAAATGCATCTACGTGTTCTCACACATTAGTTTTATGGATCTGAAACACACAGAAACCACCAGCTGCCACAGACGCAGCGCAGCGTTTACTCTGAGAGCCTGTGCCGGTGATCACTGACCATGGCGAAGCCAGCGAGCAGCGCAGACGTTCTGCTGGAGGCCTTCAGCTTGGCCCGGCTCAGGTAGAGCTTCCTCCAGGACAGGGCCTGCACCGAGTGGTGGTTGGAGCTGACCAGCTCCAGGTAACTGCGCCGCACCCAGTCCCTGTAGTCCATCCCCCCGTCGTCCGGAGCATGCTCTGAGACCCCTGGGGCCGGGGAGCCCATGGGCACGTTCAGCTCGCTGCTCATGGCACCTGGTGGAGATGAAGGAGAGCGTGTCAGTGCGGTTTCCTCGTTCGTCATCAAGGGGAGAACTTCAGAACAGACTGAATACAAAGATGGACGACATCACAGCTCCTCAAAAGTGCAGTACAGGTTATAAACCCCGCCACCTCCATGTGAGCAGGTGGCGCCTCATACCACAGCATTTATAAACTACACAACAACGCACAATAATCCACACAAAACATCATCAAACTATTTAATGAGAAGCTAAAAAATATTCTTCAAAATTCAGAATTGTTTGTAGTAACTTCAAACCTTTACTCAAAAAAAAAGTGTTAATTACGTTTAAAGACAAACTCGAGACTCACCCGTTTTATATTTTATGTTTTTATTCATTGATGTCTATTT